GGTCGTCATCAAGACCAACCGCCTTGCCAAGAAGATTGTAAAGAGCTTTAGACTTGAACCTCATCCGCCGGCAAGTGTGTCTCATCAACCAAGACTTTCCTGCTTCGCCTAATCGGAAAGGCTCCAGCACATCCGGAGGATGGGTAGAGCGCCATACTGGGATTTGCTTCCACTAACGCTAGCCCCTTGCTTCTGTAGTATTACGAAGGATTGATTTATGGTCGATTCGTTCTATGGAAACAGGTGCTCAACCTCTTGAAATCGAGGCCATGAACTTGGGTCCTTGCTCTGCTGTTTTCCAACCATCTCGATAACGCGCTGGATTTCAACCGCATCCTTTGCGCTAACACCAATGCGGCGGGTTCCCCGTAGATGGAAACGAGTAGTATTCTGGGCGCCTTGACCCATGACACTAGCCAATATGACCAATTCGTTCTCTATTGGTCCCAAGACGGACAGATCTGCCAGATACAAACCATACACGGCGAATTCGACCGTCCAAGCTAGCAAATTTCAGCGATTCGAACTGCTTATGGAGCTCGAGACACAGGGATAACACACCGAAATCCGGGTTTGTCTCATACGACTTGTTGATGCCGGCCACTTCTTCTCCAAACACTTGCTGCCACCACGCCTGAGTACGCTGAATAGCCTTCTCAGGTTGCTGGGCAAATTCGGCACGGTCCCAGTCTTGAGCTGCATCTTTGGGGTCTTCAACTCTAAGCAGAGCGAACAGACCGTCACTGGCGCGAGGCATGCCGACCAGTGTCCACGCCTTGGCGATTACCGCCCGCAGTCTTCGCGAGACATTTTGCCGACTCTCCAACGTCGAGTCACTTCCCAAATCGTTCAAGACGAATTGGTACAGCTCGCCCAGGTGTTTGCCACCGTCTGCGGTGATGAGCGTGGCTGCCTATGAAAGAGTTGAGATCATCAGGAAAGTGCTTGCTAATTGCGCGGGTGCGGTGTTGGCTGGACTCACCACAATGACATACCAGGCCCCAACAGGAAGACCTCTGGGGGTTGCATCTCGCGCCTCTTGGAACAGAGTTTGGTAGGAGATAACTGGAGACGCCATATTTTGTTATCTAATCAGAGACCCGGGAGGAGTGGCTGAGCGACGTCGCCCACCACCATTATAGGTACCTACCCATACGCACGTCTGCCGAGGAAGGACTGGCAAAGCTAAGAGTTCTCGTCACATGCTGGCAATCCTGTCGGATGCCCCCGGGTCGGGCCAGCACGAGGCATCCTAGCCGACGACTGGCATCATCTCGGGTGAGGTCTCGGGTCGGACGTTAATTGATTCCAGACATGGTGTTCTGGCCATGGCCTAACCGAACTAGTGTTTAGCAAAGTACTGTAGTCCTGTGGGCACGGACCAATCAACCGTGGACTCCTGGGAAGACCCCCGGGTTTTCTCTGCATTTGTGGCATTCTCTATATTTCCCCACGCTACCCCGCTCCTCTCAGGCCGGTTTCTGGGGGGCCTGCCCCAAAGCAGCCTGAAGATCCTTTGATGTTTCACGGGTTGCGACCCCAAGCTAGCCGTCGTGGGCACGGCGGCAATGACTTGTGCCGCGCCACCGCAATCCTCACCTACTGGATAGCTGCACAATTCCACAATTGAAAGCACAAAAAGCATACTGAACCATTTCAGCGTAGGGTTGCAACCGATTCGTGACCACCTTCTGCAACTTGATAATTCCCATTTCGTGACTTCGACTTTTGTGCCTTCGAAGCCTCTCATCTTTCCTTCCCCTTATCCAGCGTCTTTCCTCCCATTCTCTTTCTCCTAGACCCCACTTGCTCCTCTATCTTATAGCAGCAGCCGTTCTATGCCCTGCATGCACTGCGAGGGAAGGCGCAAAGATGACGGACAATGATCGCCCCATAGGAAAGCGGAAGCGGATCGCCACGGTAAGATAAGACGAGATGGGACCACAGGTCGCCTGGAAAGGAGTAGAGGTTGACTTTTCCATCGGGCGAAAAGGCCTGCCACACGTGTCAGAAGAAAAAGATCAAATGCGACGGGAACAAGCCGTGCATTTATTGTATGACGCACGACGTCGAGTGCATGTTCCCACAGCTACGCCAACGAGGGGGCTCTCGAAGAGGGTACGTCTCCCGGCATCTCTCAGTTTCAGGCTTATTCTCAACTTGTGCACAGCACAAAATACATGGACACTCTGGAGAATAGGCTCGCAACCATGGAGTCTCTTCTCAACAGTTCAGGCTGCTTAGCGAACAAAGACGGCCGGCAGCCAGAAGAGAGATCATTAGAGACCTCGATGCCACCGGTTCCGAGTGTGACGAGCGGCTCGACTGTGGTGCCAGCAACAACGAATTCTCCGAACTCCACCAATCACGACCTGCCGACACTCGATGGCTCGACGCCGCAGCATCGCATCCACCCATCAACAGGGACCAGTGAGTCCAGAGGGGTGATGGATCGTGACATGAGCAGCGATGAAATACTGGTCCCACGATCGGGCCCAAGAGAGATGAGCAGTTCGATAGATTCTGGTGTCCCTTATCCGCCAGGCAGACCTGCTCGTATTGGCTCGGCAGCCGGTTTCTCAATTTTCTCTCCCAAGGGCATACAATGGGTCATTGAAAAGACGGGGAACAAGACATTCAAAGACGCCATCGTTGCAGCTGCCCAGGATGAGAATACGATGAATCACTGGACGTCAGATACCTTCAACTGTGTCTTTACTCGACGTGTGTATCGCCAACTGCCCCCGAAGGATGAGGCAATCTCCCTTGTGGAGCGGTATTTCAAGGACTTCAACAGTGTATGTCCTTTGTTCTCTCAGCATACGTTCATGTCGTTGCTTGAACGGCAATATTCTGCGACTCCCTGTGACAGTGCGGGGTGGTGGGCCAGCTTAAACACCGTCCTGGCTATCATCGTTATGCTACAGGCCCTCGACAATGCTCCTCCAGCAACTATGGAGAGATCCCGCGATTATTTCAGAAATGCTCTTGCCGTCTTCGCGGAGTTGACGATTCGAGGCACTGATATCATCGGTGTGCAAGCCTTGCTTGCCATGGCTTTGCTCATGCAGGGGACGCCAGACCCCCGTCCTGTGGCCTTCTTTGTTGCCTCTGCGATGAGGCTCTCTCACACCCTCGGCTTGCATAAGAAGGAATCACTATACGGCCTAGACCCCCTCGAAGCAGAGCAACGTAAACGAGTCTTCTGGATTGCCTATCGGATTGACAAAGACATGTGTATCCGCTCTGGATTGCCGTTGATCCAAGATGAAGATGACATGAACATAGAGCTCCCAAGTGAAAACCCGCAGGATGATCTTGGCATCGTGACTCTCCCTGGGGGCCAAGGAAGGCTCAATATGTTCAGAGCGATGGCCGAGGTCGCGACCATCCAAGCCAAGATTCACAAGCGATTGTACTCGGCAAGCGCGTCGAACCAGTCGGATGAACAACTCATGACCACAATCACCGAACTCGACCGTCAGCTCGAGCAGTGGAAAGAAGGTATTCCGGTCGATCTCGATCAACCGGACTCCGAGATCCGGACGGCCTATACTCCACATGGTCTCCACCTTATAGTTCTGCACTTCTCGTATTACAATTGCCTGCACACTATCCATCGGACATCAATCCAGCACAGCTATTGGGCAGGCCGGCAAAACATGTTCGAATCTGTGCCGCTGAATCCTCAAGTGTTTCAATCCGCGGCACAATGCAGCCACTCCGCCAGAGCTTCGATTCGCATGTTGAAATATATCCCTGTGCAGGATATGGGCTTCGTTTGGTATAGCACCAGACTCATCCATCCCTACTACCTGATCAAAATGCTAACAGGTTCCAGGCGAGTCTTGTACTTCCCTGTGAGCGCATTCATTACGCTCTTTGAGAGCATTCTCCGGACTCCGACAGACTCGCGATCACGTTCAGACCTCCGATTAATGCGCTCGCTCGTCGTCTTTCTGTCCAAGTTGGGACTTGAGGACAGTATGGAGCTGAATCGAATCTTCAGAGTGTGTTCGGAGTTCGAAAAAACTGCGAGAGACGTGGTGGAAAGAACGGAAAAGACCGGACAGTACGAGAGCACCAGAGGACAGTCCATGAAAGATGTCACGGTGGATAAGCAACATTTCACAACCAGCCACGCCGTTCCCTTGACGTCTCAGTCTGCAACCGTGACCGGTGATCTTGGGTACTTATCGCCATCATTGTACAGTGGTGCGGCAAATCAGGTGAGAATCTGACCCTCTTTCGGTATTCTGCCTTTGCAGGCCCAATTCAAGTTAACACATTTGTGAGCCACAGAGCTTTCCGTTGGGGCTGGACGATTCTCTCGGCCAAAGCCAGTTTCCACAGAGACTTCCCGGCCTCCTGGCAGAAATTCAACCCATGTTTCCAGACGGCCTCAATATGCCCTGGAACGGTGGCATGTTCCATGACCCTTTCGGGCTAGGAACGTTCAATGCAAATTCATACGGCCTTGAAACAGCCCTGGAAGAATGAGCCAGGGCAATCTCAGCATTGGGGCGCCGCAAACGATAGTTGTATACGTATCCGATAGACACATGGTACGCGGCTCTTCGCCCCGAATCAGAGACTTAAGCGGTGACGAGATACTACAGCATGACTTCCTTGTCCTTTCTGGATACTGGGCGGTCAAATGTGACAGAGGCAGGTATAGCAGAGCAGTTGCGGGCGCAACAGAGTCACGTGCAATCGGCAGGGTTTGGCAAACAGCTCTAATATTACATGACTTCCCTCCAACAAAATGCCACTCCTAAAATCTATATGTCCGCGCTGTGCGTCACAGTCACAGCAAGTAGGCACCATAGTGGAGAGTGATATCAACCTCCCTCACTAATCACTAAAAATGATCAATTTCCAGCGCAGCTTATGTGCCGGAGACTTGCGAGCATCAGAAGAGGGCACCAGCGAATGGAAGTCGACAGTACCTGTATTTCTCAAGTTCAGCTCGGCACTATCTGCCCTTGGCTTGTGTCACCTCAATAGAACTTCTTGATCTTTGGCTTCTCGTCAGCCGTCGACTCTGTGCTCCGAGAATACTTAGTTAGCTGATATCCCCGAAGAGTTTACCGTGTCACCTTCAGGTCAAACAGGATTTCTTACCAGGATCAACTTTCGGTCCCAGCGGCGCGATCTCCTGACTGGCAGCGAGTTTTGTCACTGCTGGTGCCTCCGTATTCAAGGCTGCGTTCGGAATGGCGTTGCCGTCCACCTCCTCTAAAGCTGCGTTCTGCTTAAGCGCAACGTGTTGATCGGACTCTGCGCCATTCATCTGACCGAGCCATTGATGCTCTATTGGGGGCCAGACAGGCGGAGTATAGTCCTTGGTTGGTACAGGGAGGACCTTGGACACATCTCTATAGTCCATGTAGTTGGTCGTATCTCCCACGCCAGTCAACTCCGCCACCGTATTTCCATTCCCCAGCCAGGCCAGAGTGTCGTCCTCGGGAAGCCATGAGGTAAAATCGAAGTCCTCGAAACGTGGATTCTCCCACGCGATATGGCCGTGCATGGCAGAACCAGGCCACATGGTGATTGTACGGCCATCAGGCTTGTTTCGTTTGAACCAAGTCACGCACTGCAATGTTTCAGTCTGGAATCTTTTCGAGAGCGAGTGTATAGACTCACACTGTCAGACATGACAGTCTTACTCATGTGGCGATCGACATGTTTGATCCAGTTATGGAGGGCTTGCGGCCTAGTCCAGAGTCAGCTCATACACTGCAGCATGCCATGGTAGGGAGCGGGGGTACCCTAAGACACTTACTTGCACACAATGGACTTGAGGTATTCTCGTTGCAGTTTCTGGACGCATTTGATTATATAATGAGCCGTGGACTCGAAAGTGTGAACTATCGAGCCAGCAAACGGTGCTGTATTGGGACCGAACATCAGGAAAAGGTTCGGCATCTGTTCGGGGTTGACCCCAAAGTAGGCCACTGGATCTGGGTCCCATACTGCGGAAAGAGGAGTTCCGTTTGTTCCGATGAAAGGTGTGCCGCTGCTGTCCAAGCGGCTGTGGCAATATCAGTACATAAAGAGAAGGGAGGACGAGTGAGAGTACTAACGTGTCGAATCCTGTAGCACAAATAATGGCATCATAGTTCCTTTCGACGCCATCTTCGTCTATAATCCCATTTTCTGTGAACTCCTTCACGTCTTTAGGGATGAGATTGGCATTATCCTCCTGCATGCATTCCAGCCAAGCCTGGCCCATGATGAGTCTCCGACAGCCAGGCGCGTAGTTGGGCCTGAGAACGTCATACAGCCAAGGTTTCGGCTTGGTGGTTTCTTTCAAATTTGCATCGAGAAAAAGGGTGAATTGCTTCTGTGCCTCGGAGTCCTTGAAGAAAATCCGTTGGACATTGTTGCAGTACGCCTCCTGTTTCTTGCGGAAATCAAGATACAACTGCGGATTCTCCGTGAACAGCTTGCGTTCTCTGAGGTCATGATCAACTAACGGGAAGTTAGATATAGGTCCACATAAGGTTTTATTGCAAAGAGGCTTCTCGAGCCAATGCCTCACAGTTGTTATGGGCCCCCCTTTCGATCAATTCCTCCGTATTAGTTCCGCCCCCGGGCGGAACCCAGACCTTGCCACGCACATAGTGATCGAGTTGCTTCACGAGTGGTTGAATAGCCGGGGTAATCTGGACGCCAGTTGAGCCGTAGCCAAGCACAGCAACCCTTTTCCCTGTTGGGTCGAAAGCGTCGTCCCAATTTGCTGTGTGAAGCATCGTCCCCTTGAACTTCTCGCGGCCGGGAACGTTGGGCCATCGCCAATCGTTGACGAACCCGGTGGCCTTGATGAGGACTTCAGCTCGGTCCGTCACAGTCTTAAAAGGTGTAAGTTGGAGAAAATCGCACGGACTTTGACGAAAACAACTTACTACTCCGTCTTCTAGCCGCTCAAGAGTAACCTCCCACTGCCCTTCTTCCTCAAACCACCGAGCGCTTATGAACCTATGACGGAATTTCGTGTGCTTGTACACGTCGTATTTCTTCGCCACGCTCTTCAGATACTCCTCGAACTCTGCCCCGGGAGGGTAGAATCGAGACCAGTTGGGGTTGCTTGCGAAGGTATACTGATACACATGTGGGGTAAGATCCGGTGGGTTGTTAGTTCTCGGTTTCGTGAGGGTTGTCCCTTGTGTGCTTACCAGGACGTAGGCCGGGATAGTGGTTCTCGAACCACGTCCCGCCAACTTCATTGTTTTTCTCGTATATCGTCAACTCTAGATTGGTAATATGTTGAGGGAAGAGACTGCCAACGGCGATTCCACACATCCCAGCACCGATGCAGATGACTTTGATCGGGCGGTAGGCGTCAATGCATCTCTGATCCGGTGTGAGTGGTATACGGGACTCCATCACCGATGCCATGGTTTTCACTTGTGTTTGGAGCTGGTCAATGACAGCTCCTGTACTTAGTATCAGGAAGGTACGCCGGGGGGGGGGCGTGGGTTTGGGGAGGTCGTGAGTTTCGACAGCTATGAGTCTACTTTTGGCTTGCCATGGGCGGCCTTCCCTGCTGCTAATGTACATTCCCGCCTTCTTGTCTCTTTCAATGCGCAGAGTATCAGCATTGCATGCTTGCTTGTACGTAGTACTGTCGCCGAGTAGCGTCACTGGATAGCCCAACCCGAAGGACTCCCGGATGATGAATCATCCAGACTGTTTCGTAGAGCCTCAGCGTCAAATCACGCGCCTCGGAAGCAGAAGCAGTGTAGATTCCGGATGCTCGGGCTCGGATTTCCCGCTACCGGGCAACGCGTCGTCCGACCGGCACTCGTCTTCGCACAATGAGAGTCTTGTCGGAGGATGACGGTCATATGCTACCATGTGACTCGGTTGGGCTGGTGCTTGTCGCCAAAATTGCGTGCCGCTTATTTTGCCCGCAGAACGGCCGATTGTAAACTCGGTTCAATCAAGGGCCCCAAGATCTCTCTCCCCCATTTTCCCCTCAGACATCAACAGCTAGTTCGCAAACAATTTCCCTCCACTCAAAAGAAATGTCAGACTCGCAAATACTGAAGAAAGTGCTTTTCATCGGCGTAGGTTATCCAGCAAAATGCGGGGTCTCTTTACCAGAGTTGTTGTCTAACCAAGGGCTGATGTAGGCTGGGGGCAACATCGGAGGACCCATTTTCCGTTCGATCGAGAACGCGGGATTCGATTTAACGGTGTTGAGTCGTCCAAACTCCACCAACAAATTCGGGCCCAACGTAAAGGTCGTGAAGAAAGAGTACGACGACCCGTCTCTGCACGAAGCTTTCGAAGGGCAAGATGCCGTGGTGTCGTTTGTGTCGGTGACTGCGTTGCTGGACCAACTGAAGCTCATAGACATTGCGGTGAAAGCCGGAGTCAAGAGATTTCTCCCCAGTGAACTTGGCTCCAACACGTTGAATCCAAAAGCACAGGAGCTGGTCCTCTTCTATAAGCAGAAACGGACAGTGCTGAACCACCTAGAAGCTGCGGCGAAAGAGAATCCAAGCTTCTCATGGACTGGACTTGCAACCGGTCCAGTCCTTGACTGGGTATGATGCACTGCCCCTGCCATTTCTCACTCCTTGGCCCTGCTGTCATTCGTTATAGCAGATCTCTACATTCGGCAGCACAAGCTCACAAGGGCATCAGGGTCTCAAAAATTCCTTTTTAGGCTTCGACCTGAAAGCCCATACGGCGCTGATATATGATGACGGCGACATCCGATCGTCATATAGTAACCTTGCCACCATCGGAAAAGCGGTCGTGGCGGTCTTGCGCGAACCAGTCCAAACCGCGAACATGTATCTCTACATATCATCCTTCACGGTCTCGCAGAATGAGATCCTCGCTTCCCTTGAAAAGGCGACAGCGACGAAGTGGACGGTCAACAAAGGGAGCACAGTAGACAGAGAAAAGGAAGGTAAAGCAAAACTGGCAAATGGCGACTTCTCTGGTGTGCTCCTACTGCTGGCCCGGCTCATGTATGGGGGCGACGCGGGAACAAACTTCGAGGAGGAACGGACATTGGCTAATAAACTACTTGGACTACCCCAGGAAAGTCTTGATGCGACCGTCCAAGCTGTTGTGGACGGTCAGAACAGAGAAACAGGATAGTGTTGCGGACGTCTGTAGTTCCAGATGTCTGCCAGATGTCTGCCAGATATCGAACAATTCAGAGTCGGCAATAATCGAGAATCTCGTGGTCAGTCGAACATAGATATCACCAAGTATACGATATCATATAGTGATATACTGACACAACCAAAACCTATATATAACAGGGGATACATTTGACTCTCTTTTTATATCCCACACGATGTGCACACCTACGCTACGCAGACTGGGGTGCATTTGAGGATGGTAACCTGATCGAGATCGCGGCTCTAAAATTGTTCGCGATCATACAATATTTTACGCACTTTGGAAACTCTTGTGGCGGCGACAGCAGCAAAGGCAGTCCGACAAGTAGGCCATCGAGTCTCGAGGATACAACAGAGAACAACCAGTCTAATCTGTCGTTGCCTCTCATGATACTAAGAGAACGACCTTCCCACACGCCGCGCAGTCCTCCATGCGTTGATGTGCTGCGCCCACGTCCTTGAGTTCAAATACACTGTCCAAAAAGACCTCCTTCTTGTATTTGCCGTCACGTACCTTCCTCACAGCCTCAGCCAGTACCCGCGCTGCCGCGTCATAGTTCTCATCTAGGGTGGTGAATGTGGTGAGTTTGCGCATGGCAGAGACGATGCCAGCCCCAACTGGCATCTGCCACACCTTTCCAAGTATACCACATTTGACGACCGTCCCGCCTCGCTTCGTGACAGGCATCGAGATTGGACCTAGAGCCTCCAGCCCGATGAGCTCTAATACGGTGTTGACACCTTTCGCGGCAATTGCTTTGATGACTTGCGGGTCCTTCAGTTCCGATTCCAGCACGACCCAATCGGCGCCGGCATCCTTCAATTTCTGAACTTTTGACTCTTGCCTAGTGCTCGCAATGACATAGCAGCCCTTGTCTTTGGCCACCAAGACGCCCCAGAGCCCAACACTACTAGTAGCTCCGTGGACAAAAACCACATCCCCCGGTTTAGTCTCTGCTGCGAGGAAGATGGCGCCGTATGCTGTCCAGAGGCCCATGGGCATAGCTCCAAGGGCATCCCAATCGACATCTTTAGCTGCGTCCCCCAGTTTCCACAGTCGTCGGTGGTGGCAGATTGTATACTGCGCATATGAGCCGTCATAAGCCTTGCCTCCACCATAAGCCCATCCTGCAACTCGATCTCCAACCTTGAATGGGGATTCCGTGGCCACCTCAGCGACCTCGCCAACGAATTCTTCGCCGATGATGAGTGGACATTGGTCGTGAAACTCGTCCTTAAAAAGTCCGAACTCGACCGGTGAGACTGGCTCAGCGTTGCGGGCACGTAATTCAGCGCGGTTAAGTCCGACAGCATAGATTCGCACGAGGCAGAAATCCGAATTGGGAAGTGAAGGTTTCGGGTAGTCTAGTCTGTATGTGAAACATGCAGCTGGAGGCGACGAACGTGGTGAAGTGAGGGTGACGGCACGCATCGTGCCCTTTGGCACGTTGTCCCAGCTCGGCATGCTTGGCCGAATTCACTGTGTTCCAAGGACTTTGCTCGTGTATACTCTCGCAGGTATCCAGCGAGAATGCAGATGAACTGGGAAACAAAACTTTGGCGAGAGTGGCATCGATAGATCATCAATCATGGGCGGGACAGGTTTCGAAGTTATAGTTATTCCACATCTGCCCCACAAGTAATAGCTACCGAGAGCGACATTCGGGGCTTTCAACCTGATACAGCAGCTCGGAAATGGTGCGTGCCGGACAAGGTACCGCAATAATTGAACTCACGTAGTCTATGGTCCTCTGCCGGAGTGTTAACCTTTGTTTGACTCAATCTTTGGACATTAGGAGAGTTTCTAACCTCGCAGTTGAAACGTCCTCGGCGACGTGCAAAGCTACGATGATCGGGGTATATGGGCAGGACTAATTTGCAACGGTTAATAGTTCTCAAGTGAGCGGTCAATTAGGGCAAGGGATCAATTACATTGACCAGTATCTCTGCCCAGTACTGTTAACGTTCTTAAGCTTCGATGCTTTAGCCGTCCCAAGAATATTCTCCGTCAGGGTCCAATCCATTTTGCGAGAACTCAACTAGTACCTTCTCAAAGTTCGGGAAAGTAGTCACGAAGAACTTATTTGCCTTAACGCCTTCTATGAGATCCTTAGCGGCCTGCGCTGGCTTCACAGCTTGAGCCAGAAAGAACTTTTGGAGTGCGGCTTCAAATTCTTTGCTCGCGCTTCCATGCGGCTTCTCGGACGCTCCGGTCCACACTGCCCCTGGATAGAGTACGCTGACGCCAATGTTGTACTTTCTCAATGTCGCAGCCATGCTTTGGCTGAGCGAAATGTCCGCAGCTTTGGTCAGGTTGTAAGGGACCCCGTTCTCAGCGAATGCTGCCGGTGGTGCAATACCATTGGGAGAAGCCGTGTTGACGATCCAACCGCTTCGACGTGTAATCATCTCGGTCACAAACGCTTTGACAATTCGCATGTAACCAAGGACGTTGATTTCAAAAGCCTTGCGAGTTCCTTCGATGTCTATATTCTCGACTGTCCCATGAGGAGAGAACATTGCATTGTTGTGCAGAATATCGGGAATACCGATTTCCTGTTTGATCTGTTCCCCAAGAGCAGCAACTGCGCTGTCACTGCCGAGATCACAGATGAAGGGCCAGACCTGGTAGCTCTCTTTCTTCAATTCTTGGGCTGTTTCTGTCACAAGGTCACCGAGGACGTCGATAATGATAAGGTGGGCTCCTTGTTTGGCGTATTCAAACGCCATTGCTCGCCCTAGACCACGCGCAGCACCAGTGACTAACACCAGCTTGTCCTTAAAATCGGGCATGATGATTGCAATCTCTTCACCAAAGCTGAATATAAGTTAAGGAGAAGGTCAAAAACTTTCTTAGCAAGCCAACGATTCCAAATGAGTTTTCTTAATGTTTGGCTTGACCGGTTGGTCACAGGTGTTCAATCAAACAAGACTAGAAAAAGTCACCTCACAACGTTCCATCATGGGATGGTTCAAATTTACACTGTCCTCTACCTAAAATATTGGCGAAACTATCATCCGGTTAGGGGAGGAAGCAGTTTCCGAAGACGTGAGTCGACCGCTGCCGAGAAAAAAATTCTCGGTGAGGCGATAAAACTGTTGAAGATTTGGTCCAGATACCTTCCGATGTGGGAAGTGACAAGGAGAAGGATTAGTCATTTCTTGGTCATCATTGTAAATACACTCCAGCCTGCGGAATCTCTCTCTGAGAGTGTGTATATATATGTGCAGCATGGGAGCCATGTTTGTGATGATGGAAATAACGAAGTAATGAGGAAACATTCCGAGTCCGAGCATAATCTCATATCCTTAACAAAAACTCACCTCCATCGAATGGGGATAGGTGGTCGCAATCGTACAATACCGGCCTTTGATGTATCCGTCCCGATATCTGGTTGCTGACGTGCTTCAGACAGCTAACCAAGTTATCTCCTTTTCCGTGCTGGGAATAAAATGCACAAGAGTACATTACAGGCAAGACCCGAATCGTTCGATGGCAAATTCTATTTCCCGTACAGAGTTATGACCGTTACGGAGACCAATTCTGATCCGCGAATATTTCTCTAATTGCTTCGCCACAGTCTTGTTTCCTGGCCCAAAGATTGTCCCTTGACCTTTCTGACCGAAATATTTCCTATATCAGCCGAACATTTACATTTTGCCCGAGTCTCATTATTCCCTAATGCGTCGGTATTGAATTTGGCCTCTCGGATCCGGGACCATGCTCACTCCGTTCTCGAGAGGTATCGGCCTGCCCTTGCCCGGGGGGAATCTGAAATCGTAGGTTGTAAGCATCTGCACTAGGGCAATCTTAATCTCGTTGGAGGCGAAGAACCGGCCAGGACAAGCATGCTTGCCATGGCCAAATGCGATATGGTCGTTGCTGGTGGTGACAAATTGGTATTTTGTCTCATTACCAGGCTGCTGGCGTAGGTTGTAGAAGCGATGGCCGTCAAAGGTGAGAGGGTCCTTGTGATACTTCTCATCCGTCATTGCGGTGATTGGAATACCAAGTCCAGCCCCCTTGGGGATCACGGTCCCGTCAGATAGAGTAACGTTCTCTTGCGCAACTCGGTTCATAGGCACTGTAGAGCCGGCTGTTAGTTGGGTCGTCTACTGGATGCAATCACCTTCGGGTATTGAAGGTACTCACTGAGTGTTACCGGACTGAGCCTCTGACTTTCCTTCATGAAACTGTCCATCAGTTTGAGGTTGTACAGCACGTTCTTGGTCAAAACATCGCCCGGTTTCCACACAGCCGCAATTTCCTCTCTTAATAAAGGAATGTACTCGGAATGCTCGATCAAATCGTAGACGACATACACAAATGTCATCGATGTCGTGTGAATGGCACCGAGAGAATAGTTCAGTTGGCCCCATACGTAGTTGTACTGATCTGCTTGATCTCCGGCGGCAGCCTCCATCCATGCCAGGGCGTCCACATATTTTGGGGCTTCCTTTCCGGCCGCAAGCGCCTCCGCTTTTACTTTCGAGCGGCGAGAAAGCTCAGGTTCGATGAGACGGGTTGCTGTTGCGACCTCTTTACGGATTTTGCGAGTTTGGGGTAAGACCCAGTGGACAAATGGCCGCAAGCCCTTAGGCCACATCCTCAAGGTAAAGGCTGCTGTGAAAAAATCAACCGTGTAATTAACCGCGATGTCTAACCACTGCGGATCATGGCATAGGGGCTCAGGCAAGAAGATACGTGACGATAATCGTGCGATTATTGTCAGTGCATCTTGATTGAATTTCGTGCTCGTCCATTCTAATATGAGATCAGTGTTCAAAGCTAGACAATTAGTTGCGGAATCGAAAATACCGTCTTTGACTGGCCACATCCCGCGAAGCATTCCTGCCATTTCTAGTGAGAGAAGTTCTGTGACTTGGCCAATGGCTTGCGTAAGGCCAATCCTGACAGATTTTGTGAAGACATGATTGTCGACTGCCGGACGAAACCCCTCGAATCCTGGGTAATTCGAGAAAAAGTCTTTCTTCAGGGCAGCAGCGAAGGTCATTCGGTCGTCGTTGCGAACTTCGTCCATGAAATGGGCGGGCAGGATTATCAGCGGCCCAGTACTGGCCATAAGCTGGAACGGCTTGTTCGTCTGGCACACGTTAGCATTAGCTTCTCGTTCCTCATGCATTTGATCTCAGCCTCACCTTGCCAAGCGTATCGTAAATGAGCCTCTTCGCCTGTTTGACCCAGAGCATCTTCAACTGCCAGGTGGTCTTTGTTTTTTCATCTTTCCCAATAAATGAAAAGCCAGGGTATGCAGTAGTAGATGTGTACATCCAAATACCATACAGAAAACATAAGGATATGGTGGTTGCAAGCACGAACGCTCCCACCGTGGGCAAAGCCTCATTGCGGTGGCCCAGCATGCCGCTATACTCTGGTAGCAAGGTCTTCATTGGCACATCTGTTGGGATCTGACAAGTTGGAGAAACTCGATATAGCCACCCATCAAGTCCGGCTGTAGATATATTCTAGACATCATGTGAAGATAGGCTAGTTGACTCTGATGTAGCCGGATAACTTGGTTCCTACAGGTTCGGATGTAACAATGTATGCTGTCCGATAGTAATGTTAGGAGGGAGCGAAGGGAGCGTAAGCCCGGACTTGGTCCTCCTGGTCTTGGGCCGGAAGGGATGTGCCTACTCGGAGAATGGCGGAACTATCAAGGTTACTTAGCAGCAGACAATTGGCTGTTCCGATGAATTCAAATCCCCGAACATGAACAATCATTTGCGTTAGATATATCCTGTTCTTTCCATTGGATTTCGACTTGGCTAAGGATTCGATCAAAGGAGAGATGATGAGTGCTATCGACGGGCCAACCTGGGACGAAGAGTATGACGCCGTCAGCGTTGGTTCTGGTATTGCAGGCCTATCGACTGCCGTCACTGCCGCGGAGTGTGGGGTGAAAGCTCTTGTGATTGAGAAATTTGACTTGTTAGGCGGAGTATCAGCTCTGTCCTCAGGACAATTATGGCCGGGTCCGAATCACTTAGCCGAAGCAGCAGGCATCCCCGACTCCGCCCAAAAAGCGAAAGACTATATTGATCACCTTGGGCAAGGACATGCTTATCCTGAGATTCGCGACCAATATCTCGCCCGGTCGAGAGAATGCTTGAAGTACTTTGACGCCAAAATCGGCGTTCCCATGACGGTCATCAGAGGCCTACCTGATTACTACTATCCAGAAGTCGCCGGCTCAGCCCCAGAAGGTCGCTACGTGGAAGTTATACCCTTTCCGGCCGCTAAACTCGGCGAGTACAAGAACAAGGTCCTAACCTCTCCATATGGACCGTACTACAGTTACTCAACTTCCACCGAGTGGGTTGAGATGCAGGGGGGCGGAGAGAGCATCGGTTCTTGTATTCAACGCCACCTCGCTAATGATGAACGCTGTGCGGGAGCAGGGATGGCGGCTGCGCTAGTGTATGCTGCTTTACAGCGCAAGGTGGAGTTTCGTACTTCTACAGAGGTTATCGAGCTCGTGGCTGAGGATTCACGAGTCACAGGTGTCATAGTGCGTGACTCCTCCGGGACACGTCGCATTCGAGCTCGCCTGGGTGTTGTTCTCGCCACTGGTGGCTACGACTGGAATCGACGTTTCGTCAGCAGCTTTGATGCTCTCCCAGTGGCCGGCAGTATGGCGTTGCCCACTGTCACTGGCGACCACATTCTGCTTTGTTCGAAATTGGGAGTCATCCCAATGCCATCACGGGCTCCAGGTCAGTCCCCAATCTTTGTGGGCTACAAGGTTCCAACCGAGAAAATTTACGGAAGAGGCCCAGCATATCGACTCCTGGTTCCTGGACGGCCCCATTCGATCATAGTCAACTCCAAAGGAAAGCGCTTCTCTAATGACTCTTTCTATCCTGATGTTGTCGCCAAGGTCTCACGATTCGATGGGCAAGAGGACGGTCTGGTGAATTGGCCGGCCTGGATTGTTTTCGACCAAAGTATGCTCAATCAGCGAGGCATGCTGCCTGTCCTGCCTGGGCAGCCACTTCTTGAGGGCATGGCTGTCAAGGCCGACACGCTGACTGAGCTGGCGGTGAAGGCACAAATTGACCCTGAAGGCCTAGAGACCACCGTCGAGCGCTTCAACAAAATGTGCAGCAACGGTGTGGACGAGGATTTCAAACGTGGAAGCAACCCGTGGGGCCGCCTCATGGCTGGGGACCCCAAGTTGAAGAATCCAAACATGGCTCCGATCTCTCAAACCCCATTCTACGCGGTGAGACTCGAGCGTGTTACGATGGGAGTGCCGACAGCTGGTCTACCGATCGATGGTGATGGACGTGTGGAGAACAGTGCTGGCGACATCGTTTCCGGACTCTACGCCGCTGGCAACTCAGCCGCATGGGGAGACTGGGGAGGAGGTTTTAACAGCGGCATCGCCGGCATGCGTGGCTTGCTATACGGCTACCTCGCAGCGCTCCATATGACTGCCACGTAAAACGCTTGTGCATGGAAAGCACCATAAACTATTCGGCTATAGGGTCCCTCTCACATCCCAACTAAGTTAGCAAGGAGAGACGAAATCATCCTCGGGACCTGAGAAAGTGCGTTTGTTCTGTGTTGAAGGTTCAGCTGATTGAACATGACGCTTGACCACAGGGCATATACCTGATTCAGCAGGAATAACTATCCAATAGAAGCATTCGGAGTAACAATGGCGAGCCGTGACGGCAGTTGTGAGACCTCAGACATACTCTCTCGGATTTTTCAGATTCCGTCGACGCCCAGCACAGGGTTCGCAGTTCTTCATTTGCACTCCGCTTCACATTTCTCAGCTGCTGCACCATGCTCCCCGTACCGTTGACCGCCATCTCCTGTCAAGCCAGGCTCCCTCCAGCGATAAACAAGGCTTGCAGTCCTGTTCCCCCAGTGGCCGCTTCCAAAATCCGCCAGAAGCACAAGCGGTGCGGCCGACCACTGCCCGAGTATCGAATATTTGAATTAGTGGGGTTTGGGCCCTGACCTCCAGGATTTGGGAGTAGATGGGCCGTGTCCGTCTGAAGATCATTGTCCATTGTCGTTGAAAAGATTCACAGAAATAATCAGTCGCAATTTCGAGCGGTAAGTTCTTCGCTATTTGAGGGCTACTTCCGTGTGAGCGGGCTTGGCTCAATTGCTAGGAGTAGGGTCTCGGCTCGGGTAACATAGACTTCCGTTAGGCGAGGTGGACAAGGGATACGGAAGCAGCGTCGTCTATATCCGCTCTCTACATCAAAGTACGTCCAGAAGGACTTAGGAAGTCGCTGCGGAGAATGGTACACCAAAGCCACGCCGAAAGGTTCCGCTCAGGGTGATTTTATTTCGTCGAGTTCCGAGATAACGTCCAGAAGCTACAGGTATACGAGTGTGGTTCTGTAAAGTGCCTGCATATAAACAGCTAGCGATACCTAGGTTTACCTCTATCGCACTCTTAATCTTGTCGCTTTTCCTGTTAACCACTTATTGCCAAAACTATATCGTCGAAGTCTTGACTATCGATCATTATGAGCGAATCACCGGCATGGACGCACTTGGTTCGTTTCTCACACAAGGGTGTCCCCACATTTGCCCAACTCGTCAATCCCAGCGAAGATGGTGATCTAGACGAGCAATTCGAGGTCGAGATTGCTCAGGGTGATCCCGTCTTCAATAACATCAAGTTGACGAACGAAAAAGTAACCGTAACACGAAGCACATTGTTGGCGCCTTTCGCGACTGTACCTATAGTCATCAACACCGGTCTCAACTACAAGGATCACGTGACAGAATCCCTGTTCTACAGCGCCCCTGTAGGTTAACATTCATCTCTCATTCCGCTCAGCCGCGGAAGCTTTCACCGGCAACGGAGTAAGCGCTTACGGATAGTAGGATCTCATGCCCAATATTCCATACATCTTCTTCCGACCTGCAACCTCACTTGCTCCACCATATCCGGCTCTGTTGCGCACATACAAGGTGCAACAAGAGTGTCTCGACTATGAAGGCGAGCTTGTTTTTCAAACGGGTTCCCGACCCCTGAAGGATATCTCGGTTGAAGAAGCGAAGAAGCATATCTTGGGCTTCACCGCAGGCTGCGACTTTTCTCCACGTCCGGGAAAGGTTCTAGGACGAATGAACTACATCTTCTCGAAGGCATTTGACGACTGGACCCCCGTTGGTCCGGTTCTGGTTCACCCCAGCGTGGTTGGAGTACTCCCAGAGTTGGACCTTACCACTAAATGGAATGGAAAGATGGTCCAGAGCGATAATACTCGTAACATGATCTTCAACTGTGCTCAGATCCTATCCTCAATGTCAACTGGTATGCTTACACTGCCTGTCATGAACTTTTCAAAGCTAACTTGACCGCCCAGGAACGACGGTGCAGCCTGGCACGGTTGTTTTCTCGGGTACTTGCGGCGGAGGCGCTTGGTTCATCAGTGAGGGCAAGCCTGGTACTGGTATCAATGACGACGACGAGATTGAGGTGGAGATCAAGAAGATCGGCAAAGTTCGCGCCTACCCATGTTTCGACAAATAGGTTATTCTACTCTACAGCGGCCATAGGATGAGTCCGCTCCCCTTCCCTGTATGAAGCATGAGCAAAAGTGGCATCAAAGTCATAGAGCCTGCTTTCTGTTCCAGTGCTGAAGAGTGGATATAATCGAACGAACACATTCCTTTGAACTACCACAGAAGAGTCCGCACTCGATCGCAATATCTCCTTGACCGACTTGAAATTTTCTGGCTCTAAAGACATGGATCTAGCTTACGTACAAAGGCGTTACAACGTGGGGAGATATCCAATGATCGTGTACTAGCATTGAGTACTAGTGTTTCTCATTTCAAACCGAGCGACGTTCGGACCCAGTAGTGTTCGAAGTGTCTGCGAGCCGATGGTAGACAATAGAAGCCGGCGAGATGCGTTGATACGTTTCACTGCCAAAGTCTCATGTCCGGAAAACTATTTTCGGGTTGGATCAATACCACAACCCCGGGTCGGTTGTCAATTCATTCCGATTTTGCCTGAAAGCTTCACGTGCTCTGATTTCCCGCTTTGTTAGGGACACTCTTAATGGCTGTCAGAGAACTTTTTAAGCACGCTTCCAACGTTGATGGGCCACTCCCAATACAACTAACCATGGGTTCACTTACTCCAACCACAAAACGCGCGCCAGCGTTCTTCGTTTCTCACGGCGCTGGGCCCTTCGCCATTCTCGGTGCTCCTCACCAGCAGCCACTTGTCGAACTCTGTAAGGAGACAAGATGGGTATTGGACGGAGCTAAAGGCATCATTATTGTGACTGCTCACTGGGAGACGGATCAGCCTCATATCTCATCCGGTGCCGAGCCAGACATCTATTACGACTACTTCGATAACCTGGCAAAAGACCTGCCAAAGGAAGCCTGGGAGATCAAATAC